CATCCAATGAGCAATAGAGTTATTAATGTTGTCTTGGGACTTGTAAAACATCAACGGGTTATTGCCCATCACACCCACTTGAACTGTTGTCGGTTGGGAGGCAAGTGCCCCCACCGTTTGAGCGCTTGGACGAAGGCCAACAATTCCCTTCTTCCGTGTGTCATTAACAGAATTGGCGACGGGTACTTTCTTGCTAAAGTACCCGACGGGGTGTCAATCCTCGCCCTCATGTTATTCGAGGATGGCCCCAATTCCATAGTCGGACGCATCGATGGTGACACGCGTAGGCAAAAGAGGGTCAGGGATATGCAAGACCGGTACGGATAGCAAAGCAAGTCTGAGAGCCGTGAAAGCTGCCCGAGACTCATCATCGAAGTAGAATGGCCAGTCCGCGCATTGGAGTTTGGTCAATTTGGTTTGAAGAAAGCCTTTCTGGAACGATTCGATGTTGGAGAGTCAGCTCGTCGTCGACAACGGTGTCTCCTTGAGGCTCATTGGGCGCCGAGTAGACAACGACTCGGTTGTACTGCGTTCTCGCGATGCGGTTGTGACACTGTACACAGATCACCTGTAAACGTGACGATCACAGTGACATCACTTTCCCTTGGTCAGGAATGTCGAAGAAACACTGATGCCTCCACCAACACCATCGCTTCATCACCTGCCCTTGAGACCGTTACTTCCACCGCAGAGTACAAAGTCTGTGCTGAGGAGCTATGCAAATCGTTGTAGATCGAGACTAAGCCATGGATGATGGACCTGTAAAAAACGCAGCGATGGTCGTGGTTGAAGCAGTCGCAGAAATTGCTTGTTCGATTGTGAAGCTCATGGCGATGGCTGATGAGAAAAGGTGTCAGGATGAGAACAGGTGGATCAAGCTTATCTTCGTTATCTGAGTCGGATGGTGAAGAGGAGGGTAGAGGAGATTCCGATGAGGGAGGGAGCAGATGACGATAGGAGATATGACAGATGATAGGAAGAGAGCTATGGCTTCCGCCTACGTCGGGAGCGATGTGCACAGTATCGTTGCCGTTAGGGTCGAGTTCCTCTATGAGGAAGTAGGAGTCAGCCTTTGGTCGCGCGCTCACTTGCGGAGTTGGACCAGGTCCCCTCGCTTATATTAGATTTGTGGGCCAGCATTTCAATTTTGGACTTCATAACTATGGACCTGTCTACCATGACCTGGTTTCATCATCCCCTATCTTTTCCGAGCTAACGTTAGGATAACCTTTTCCATCAATTCCCAATACCGCTTGTCGTTGGCTTTCATCGACGATCACGTGTCTCAACCCCGATGTTTGGCATTTTCCGAGGAGCCTCGTATAGTGACACATGGAATATTGTTGGTCCGTAATTGAAAGGGGGTTGACCTCATCGATTCGTGAGGGGTGGCCCCGTGGATCCTAGCAATCTCATAGACAATTTGGGACCATTGAGGCGTGTTGTTTGCGGCGAGATTCTGTCGAAGGGTTGTTTTAATCATGCAATTGGCATTTTCGGCCAAACCATTGGAACGGGATATGTGCGGGGCCGTATGTCGGAGCGAGACGCCCCTTTGCAACAAAACCTATTTTACCTCACTCTTAAATTCCGATGCAATCAGACTTATCTTCACCTCACGTTCAACATGCATACATGCAGCAGGCGATGACAATAGAAACTTCCACAAACGCAGAATCAGCAACAGACTTGAGATGGTGCAGTGCACCCACACAAAAAGAACTCAGAGATACGGCCTTCGGCCAAGAACTCAGCTCAAAACAACTTGTCACATCTCATGGCTATGGTGTCTGAGCGCCAGTCTGGAATTCCCACCCGAACACTGTATCCATCATCAGACACGCTCACACGCACGTACGCACACAACACTTGGATCTACCCTAAATGTTTGCACATACACACACGCTAACTACTAACTCGTCACACTGGCAGATATGGACGCCGTCGTCTTCCTCCTCTCTAGCGGCTATGGCCGCTTGTCCTCTGACCACCGGTGAACTCAGTGCACAAGTCACTCGAGCAGCGCTTCTTCGTAGTTCCCCAGATAATGAGTGAATGACTAATTGCTGCCTCTATACTGTTTTGTTTGGTGGTCTGGGCCTGCCCGATGTCCCAGGCCCTCAAGATGTGCAATCCCACTTTGGTACTTGATGCAAAACGGACTGGATTGGGACTGCCTTTTCATGTGCCCCTTAGGGGTTGACTTGGGACTCTTGACCTTTCAGAGATTTGATGGGCTGCCTCTACTAACTTCGAGAGGTCAAGTTGACTCTTCGAGAACTACTCTAACCACAACCTACTGACCTTTCAGAGGACATATGGCCAGTTGACCTTTCGAAAGGTCAACTGTAAACTTGTCGTTTCAGGACACCTACAAGCGACCCTAAGACTTCTAAACAGTAGACCCACGGACCAAATCCACGTGACCCAAGCTGCACACATAAAACATTTGTACACGGTTTTAGGGACAGGTCACGGGTTCAAAGCACACAAGGTCAACGGGCAACTATAGAGTGGGCTAGGGAAGGTCCGGGGATCGAGTCCTGGTATCTGGGATGTTGGGCAAACTAGGTGAAACCCTTTCTCTCCCGCCGTCCTAAATTCGAGGTCCTCCAAGAATTCTTTAATCCAAGGTAGGACCTTGACCATTTCTTGCTCTTTCGTAAGCATGAACTACATTGGGAGCGGTTTCAAGAAGTTTTGTTCAAGTGAACCATCAGTCGTCTTCAGGTTCCTAGTAAGCAAACCTGACTTTGTACTGCTTCTGGGGACGACCTGTACCTCCCGTGCGAAATACATCTTCTAGTATTCGGTCTGTCATAGGTGCCCTCCATATCTGGCGGAATCATAGATCTCTGTAAAGGAAATTGTTCACTAGTGACACGAGGCAGCAACTTTGATGCATGAAAGACCGGATACGTATGGAGGTGAGTTGGAAAATTTTTATCGTATATGGTGGTCCATCCTCTCCAGCTTCGACTTCTAGGACAGGCCCCGACCCTCTATATTTGGGAAGAGCTTTTGTGGGATGCGAGTGTCTGCGATGCTTATTCACTTGTTCAATCATGCGATGCTGGGCTTTTCTAAGGTTTTCGATCACCTTTTCAACTTCCTTCTCGTGTTGGAGAGCAAACTCTCTTGTACCGGGAGGTAACCTCTGAATCTGGTCCGGTTCAATCCTTCAAATGGCCTACGTGGTCTAAAGGACTTACGCAGCTCGTTAGGAGTTCTGGAAGTAGCTAGATGCACGCTATTATTATAGGTGCTAACTACTTTGGGAAGCATCTCATTCCAATTCACTTGATCGGTTCTAATATACATTTTGATTAACTGCTGCAATATCTTATTCATTTGTTCGGTCTGGCCGTTTGTCTCTGGATGACGACCTGACGACATCAACAACTTAGAGCCGTAGACTTTTATGAGATCTTGCCAGTTTTGGCTGGTAAACCTTGAGTCTCTGTTACTAACTACTGACAGTGGTATGCCATGCTCACTTACCTAGAAGTTAAAGAACTTCTCTATAACTAATTCAGTCTTTGCCTCTTCGGGCAATGGTATGAAGATCGCATATTTGCTAAATCGATCTATTACGACCATGACTTGACTTTTACCATTCCTGACCCCTGTATCCATGAAGTAAATGGAGTTTCTGGGTCCTGCTGGGATAGGCAAATGTCTTAGAAGACCTAGGGGTGCTCTTGTCATTATCTTGTTGCTTTGGCAGACATCGCCGAGAAGGTCGGGCCACCAAAATCACTCGCGAAGTCGGCCAATCGTGTGATTGACTCCAAAGTGTCTGGTGGCAGGGGCATCGTGGAACTCGCCAAGAAGCCGTGTACGCAAGTGAGGATCACTCGGTACGCAAAGAAGGTCCTTCCCCCGTGTGTGGACAAGCAAGTACCCCTCTTGGATCCGGTAGTGAGAAGGTGTCGGATTAGGAGAGGAGCAATTCACGTACTTGTCGCGAAACTCGGGGTCGGCTTGGTAGTCGTGGATGAAGCTGTTCCGCAGGTCATCGTTGATCTCGAAGGTTGAGTAGACCACTGTCGAGCGCATCGGTCTGGCACCGCACAGGGCAGCGCGGGACCCTCCCGTCTGCGTCACGCAGGAGTCGGTCTAAATCCTCGTCGCGAATATATATGGAGCTTCCGCAAGCCGCTCCGGCCGAGTGCGCCAGCCATACCTCTCGCGAGCCCCTACGACTGGATAGGGCCTACGCGAGACACGACTTATCTCCACCTTACGGGAGCTGTCACCTCCCTTCGGTGGGCGTATCCCCGCCGAGCTACCAGTCCACAGTACGAAAGCTAATCAGTTGCAATCGCAGAGGTGGACCAGTCGAGGGCATTTCTCGTTCGCTGTAGCATAGGGGGTACGCGCTGTATTACGCCTCCATCAAACCCGCGCGCGAACCGACATCTTGGGGGGTTGAAGTCCCAAGCGCGACTCGTCGCCGGTCGACCAGGACGCATCCCACACGCCACGCGCACACCACTACGAAGAAACATAAAAATAAAACACACTCATACACGCACATACACGAAACGACACAAAACAACAACGCGACACCGCTCCTAGTCCCTCGGTAGCCATCCCATAACTTTCTGATGCGGAAATCGGATAGGCGTCGCGCGCGAGACTTAGTATAAACCCGCGCGGACGCAGGGCTAACTCATATCGATTCGCAATGCAAGCTTACGCAAGCAGTCGCGATGATGGCGTACTATGTAGTGCCCATAATCAAGCAGTCCCTCGTGGATCCGATTACCGCTTATGACACTCAAGTGTCAGACTCGAAGTATCGTGATAGTCTAATCCCTCACGATATTGCACGACTGAAGGAATAGCCGTGCTCTCGCCACGAGACCTCCGGCCTTTGGCCTGAGAGTCTCGGCAGGTAGGGCAAATAGGCTCTGCGCGGGGGAAAGTTCCTTCCCTGCAGAGCCTAGGGCTTGGGATGTCCTGGACAAGGACCTCGAATCCCGGCCCAGGACCAACGTCCGACTAGGAATTTATTAAGAAGCATACAATCAGAAAAATGGGGTTTACCCTTTCTTTTCTTAACCCCAACCCCAACTTTTATCCTTAATATGCGGACCCCTCAGGCCACACGAACTTCCAACATAGGTACACATATACTTATATATATATATAGGGGGATAAGTATGTGACGATCACTTCTCACAATCACAGTGGGGCTCCTCATAACCATATGTATATGTGTGATCGCAGGGCAGTCAAATCCAAAATCCAAACCACAGAACATACCTGCAATCACATCAAAAGTCAGACAAAGTCCATGCACTACACGGAGTCAACCCCAACCACTCTCTATACTCATACCCCTCGCTTTAGCCATGCAAGCCCCAACCTCCTGTCCAACCAACCATAATTAAATACTCAGTACCTTTGTTAAATGGCCATTCAATAAAAGTCTGGGTGAAACCTTAATAAATCAATAAAATCACCAGGGCTAAAGCCTTTTAGGTTGAGTATTGAGGGTGAGTTGGAATTGAGTCGTAAAACAACGAATCGACAACTGACCTGTTATCAGTGATTACAGAAGGTGATCCTCGTGGGATCAAAGCTGAATCTGGTCCAAAAAATCCTGAATCGAATTGTTCAAAGGAGGACCTGTAACACGAAACAGACCAATGTTCAGGCTAAACTTATAAGCGCACAAGGAATAACTCCATACCCTGTTCTTACAGAAATCCTCCTGATAACCAGGCCTTAGTCTATCCCTGCGCACGTGCCCAAGAAAAAAAAAGAAGACCTTTGGCATCATCTTCCCTACCCATGGTGGATCGTCAGAATCGCCACCTGTCGAAATATAATCTAACTCCTCTAAATTAAGAAAATTTCGGCAGTGCTTCCCGTAGGCAAAGTGCCATTGCAGAATTTATACTAGCCTAAAAATCAAACTTTTGGATTCCAGAAAGTCAAAATTTGTCTAACTTCCAGAATTAGCAAAACTTTGGCAACACTTCCTTGAGATTTATACTAAGTCAGATATGAACTCAAACATAAAATCTGAGTTCTATTAGGACAAAATTTAGCCAACTCCTTAGATTTGTAGAAATTTCGGCAGCGCTTCCCGTAAAGAAAGTGCTATTCCAAGATTTATACAAAGCTAAGTCCAGAATTTGAAATGACTTTGATTTTTCCAGGTCCAATTTTGTCTAACTCCCTGAACTAGCACAACTTTGGGCAGCACTTTCTTTAGAAAGGAGGCTTTCTAGATTTTCACTAAGTCAAAAAGTAAAAAAGGACTGGATCCTAAAAAAGACAAAGTTTTGACTAACTCCTTGGTTTTGTAGAAATTTCGGCAGCGCTTCCCGTAGAGAAAGTGGCTTACCAAAATTTATACAAGACCAAAGTACAACAAAAAGATCCCAAAAAATGCAGAAATTGATCTAAGTAAAAGAAAAATCTCAGCTCAGAAAATGCAGGAATTGAAATTAACTCCTATGGCTCTAGCACGTGGCGGGCAACTAAAGCAACTACCTATCAACTGAAACTTAGACTAAGTAGTGGCATCACTTAGTCACATGCAGGCCAAWCCACAAAGGTAAGTACTCTCATCATCCCCAAGTCAACTTAGCAGACAATAGTTCATAGTCTTTCAATGATTTATCCCCTTATACCCAGATTACATAGGGCATAAAGCTAGACCACCCAAACGTATGGAACATGTCTAGCCAAGCCATGAAGTATACACAAACAAAGGGCACAACAACTTTTCTCTTCTTTGGGCATGTGACTAGGCCACCCTAGCCGCCCTGAACTGTTTAAGTATCCAGAATTTATATAATTAATTGTCTGCACTTAGTCTTTTGAGGTAACATATAATTGAGCCGATCATCTTCAGCTCAAGACTTAGTCTGCCCCTTCGTACCACAAGTTTATTCTTAATTTATACTTTCTTCCATTGGTGATAAGCTATAGTCAAACCACCCAAACTTATGGAACCCTGTCTGACTAGCCTGTTCATAGATAATATAATAATAAAGTATAGCCAAATTCTAACCTTCTGGTTCCAGCATGTACGAGGCGTTGGACCAAGACCACCCAAACTTATGGAACATGTCTTGATCCTCAGCCTGTTCATTTCTCCCAAAACCAAAGCAGAAAGAGCTTGAGCCACCCAAACTTATGGAACATGCTCAGACCTCCTCGTCCAGGAACTAAAGAAACTGACAAAAACCCCAAGTAAACAAGGCGACCAAGCCACCCAAACTTATGAAACATGCTTGGTCTCTGAAAAATCAACCACAGTTAGCCCTCACAAGTCAGAGCAATCAGACCACCCAAACTTATGGAACATGTCTGGTCCTCCAGGCAATCCAAAAATAAACATAGCACTGGACCTTCCCAAACTTATGGAACTGGCCTAGCCTTTAGTTGACCCAGTCAAACTTCATGCAAAACTACCTTTCTCCCATCCTTCCCCCAGATGCAACCCCACAATCTGCTTTCAGCCAGACAATGAAACTGAAACTGAAATTGTACATGCATTCCTTTACTTAGTCTGGTTATGTCCCGAAGAGAAAACAAAAATCATAGGGACAGGTATACATACGCCAATCAGACTACAGGGGGATAGGCAAACATGGGTGTAGTGGGTTATACAGATAGAGATAGTTTACCTGATGGTTCCCTGCCTCCAGAACCTCGCCTAGGTTCCGGCAGAGCTCCCGCAATCGGTGGGATGACTCCCCACAGAGTCTTAATGCGGACCTACGGGTTGCAATCCCGCCTGCCACCTTCCTCTCGGAACTGGATTAGACTTAGAGTAAGAAGGGCAGAAGATAGGGATTTCAGACTCTCGAGATACAAGAAGGGGACAACTCAACTCTTAGGAGAGGGCCTTGATACCTTCGTTCGCCTGAGGGCCCAGCAATGGCAGCCAATGCATCAGCTTGGTCCTCTTCTGAACTCGGTTGCCGAAATCAATCCCCTGACGATCTCCTAAATCGCAGCACTAACCCCCTATTCGTCCAGTCTGATCACCTTCCCAAGTCTCAACACCTCTCCTCAGCCCAATCGCGGCCGCACAGCAGCCTGAAATAGTCAACAACAGCCGGCGGCAGTGTGCAATAGCATACAACGATCAACAGTAGACAGCAGCTCACCCACAATCAACGGGAGTAGCAACCTGTTTGTGCACAGCATGCAGCAGCAGATCATGTGGTCAGCAGCAGCCAGCAGCAATACGCAGCATAGGCACATCAACAATTCGCCAATAGCAGCATCCAGCAGCGGCGGTCAACAGTAACAGCAGTAGTCCGTGCCCAGTCCGCAGTAGCAGCAGCTTGTGCACAATACGCAGTAGCAGCCCGTACACAACCAACAACAACTCGTAGCGATAGTCTGTCCACAGCCCGCTACGGACAGCAGCAACTATCGAGCTCACCTGCATCAGCCTCCACCAATAGAGTTGTACACAGCCAAGGGCAACATCAGCATAGCACTAACAACCTTCTCCAGAACCCACAGTCGTAGCGATGGTCAGCAGCTAAAAGCAGCCGCAACCTGCCTGGAGCGGCCAGTACGAGCAGCGGCTAGTGGAGATGGCACAGCAGCCAACTCAACGCATCAGTAAGCAGAAACAATGCGGCCAGGTAACATGCCGTAGCCGACTGTAGCAGACTGTAGCCACCATCAGGACTAGGCGAGGCGCATGATGGTGTTGGCCACGATACTGTGGTTAAAACTTCGGTCGCCCGCTTCATCGACCTGACAAAAAAAACCAGCGTCCCTGCCAGTTTCCCACTGTTCCGCTCGCACAGCAGCGTGGTCCCCTTTCGACTAATTGGTCACTACGCAGCCAAAAGGCCAACTTTCAAGTAGAGCACGCCCTTGTGCTGTACTCGAGGTGATGACGAACTGACCTAGAAACTTCAGTGAAACTGCTGCCTGTTGTAGCAAGTCCGCATGGCCACAAAGTACAGCAACAGGCTCCGACAGCAATCGCCAGAGTCACCACACTGCCTATCGCAGTCCCTAGCGCAAGCCACAGCAACTACACTAGCGTAGCAGCAGGGCAGTCTAAGGCTGACATTCACCAATCGGATCAGTTACAGCGGTGAACAACAGCCAACTGGCTCCACCGAACATCTCAGCAATAAAAGTACAGTGTAAACACAACAAAAGCGGAGCCAGGCCGTCGTACCATGCTCTGCGTACTAGTGACCCGGCGACCTTGGTTGCAATAGTAAGCCGCTTTGCCGGAAAGCACAGTGTAATAGCCCCCCTTTCTAGTCATAGTGTCTCATTCTCAACCTGAGCTGTCGTTCCCCAGTTAGACAGGCCTGTGTTTGAGCAACACCCACCCTCAGTTTGCTCAAAATAAATGTATATTGTTGTTTCAGTCATTTGTTGCGGTGATACCACGCTGGTTAACCCCTCAGTTCATCACTTGATTCATCCCACATCGGTGCATCCTTTGCTAAAGGCCGGCTATATGCACGAGCCGACCGCACGACTCAATCGGCCATTAGGAAAAACCACAAGTAGGAGGGTCATCGACATACTGAATCAAATCGGCCACATCTCATATGATCCCAAGGTGCCGAACGAAGTGAAGGGTGCTATGGTCACGACTGTGCAGGGCGGCATTACGACGCAAAGGCCGACGAGTGTTATGCTTCCAACGAGCACTGCAACTCCTGAGACAGCAGGTGGGAAGGTGAAATGGGTGCACACCAATAAGAGCATCAAATAGTACGACATCCTAGCTTACTTGATGAAGATGGAATCAGCATGGACGCGGCGGTCATGAGCAAGTCTGTGATTGCAGATCAAAACATGCTTTGGGTTGTATAACCCGTTAGGCCTTGACTACCTTCCTAAGTTGTGCCAAATGAGAATGAATCTTCCGCTAGAACGCGGAAAGATACATTGGAAATTCCCACGTCATTCCTGCACAGCTCTAACCGCTGTTGCCCCCCAAACCAGCCTTCTATTGCCAAGACAACCATAGACATCGCCCTCGCGACGACTCAAAACTGTAGTATAGAGCTTCCTTTCCCTAGTTTCGATCAAGGAGCGGCCTAGTTTCTGCAATCTTCACCTTCATCCTCCATAGCTCCGCGCAGCTCATACAACTGATTCTGATAGTACCACTTATCCTACGCGAAATCTAACACTGCCATCAACTTCGCCCGACCTTAAAACCCCAATTCCGACCTTTGTTCCGCCTGATTCCGCCAAGAAACGAGTGAGTTATGGTTTATCTGTTGCGCCGTATCTCCTTTCCCGCCACCTTCGCGCAACAGTCTTCCCTACTTACTCACTATCTACTAATCCTTCCGCCATTCTGACCCGATTAACCGGTTCACCCTAGGCCAGAACCCCAGGTTTACCCCTTTCCCCTCTCGATTCCGTTCAGGATCGAGAGCGCCACATCTTCTTGACTAGGCCGGCTTCTCCTTCCACCATCTCCGTCTGCACCCGACGTTGTTTCCTGTCCCGGTTCATTCACCTTTATTAGTGCCCCGTCCCTCCGTCTGCGCTCGCCTTGCCTGCGCTTGCCAGCCTCCCCTGCTGCTTAACGCTGCCTGGCCGGATTCCCTCGCTCTCTGGCGCTCCGCTCCTCCTTCTGCACTCACCTTGCCTACTTCGTCATCGATTCCTACAGTCACCCACGCGGTCTCCGCTGTGAAAGCGCTTCCGCCCAGCTCATGCAAGAATGATTGAAAGGTTGGGCGAGGTGCCTTGGTTTATACTTCCGTTGGGCACCGACCTGCCTCTTTCCCATCGAGCCCTGGGCACCCACAGTCCCATATAGCCCCCGCCGACAAGGCTTTGAGAGATCGGGACTGGGTCATGCTGACTCCGCACAAGCCGACCGGGACCGGGCACCGTTGATTCAACACAGGTGGAGTTGCCACTCGCTCAGTCGCCCGGGCCCACAGAGGGCGGTCTTTGACAGATCGTCCCCGGAGAGTCATCGGTCCGACCCTTCATTACTGTAGCTGCTAAACCTTGACCCTTCGGACTGATGTGACCGGAAAACTGCAACGGTTAGGCCTACGTCACAAGTCGCAGGCTCAAACATAAGCAAAAACAAAAAATAATAATAAGAAAGCGACAAGGGCATATCAGATTAGTAGAAGGTGAGCCCTCCGCGACATCTCTCTAGGCTCCTTCCAGGTGGGCCGTAACCGGGACTCCTCGGCAAAACCAAAAGGGATAGTCATGTGGGACCCTCAACCCCTTAATGCCTTCAATGCTCGACTGCTCCTGCGCCGCCCTCCGCTGGCCTCGATCCCCGTACCTCCACCGTGATAGTCCAGTGTCGTAACCTATAGGGCTAAGCCCAAGCCTAGGATCAACGCATGCAGTATCCTATATAAACGGGTGCTGCACAACCCCTAGGCCCAGGAAAAATAGCCCGGCCCTCATTCCTTCTTCCAACTAAGCACGCTGTCACTAGGCCTCTGCACTGGCTTGCCCTCTCGCGTCGCGACTACCTTGCGCCCCACCTCGTACGTCAGGCCTATCAGTGGTCAACCGTCCTAAATAAAAACAAACCTTTTATTCCTAATAAAAAAATCAGGCCGGCCAACTAGGCCGGCTGCTTAATCAAACGGAGGAATCACACGCGCGCCTCAAGACTGCCTGCCCACTCACGCTCTACTCTAGTCAACCACCCTATCAATGTAACCCTAACAGACTTAGCCGCGACTCGTGCGGTACACTTAGACTTTTAAACTTACTTCCTGTCACTTGCAAAACCCAGGGCGGATACCCTTATCAGGGTATTCGCACCGACACCGCGGTACAATGATCTGGACGTTGTGAAAAGGCATCCGCAAAATGGTTCGACTTCTCGGGAATGTGATCGGGAAAGAAGTCGAAATGGTCGATGAAAGCCATCCATCGAGCGATGGTGCTGTTGACGGTGTCTTGGGTCTTGTAAAAGACCAACGGATTGTTGTCCGTTACCCATCGAAATTGGCTTCGACCAAGGAGGAAGTGCCACCACCGCTTGAGCAAGTGGACGAAGGCGAGGAGCTCCTTCTTGCGTGCATCGTCAATTGAATGCACGACGGACACTTTCTTGCTGAAATACTCGATCGGGTGCCAATCCACACCATCATGTTGCTCGAGGACTGCACCAATGTCATAGCCTGGCGCACCCGTAGTGACGCGTGTAGGCAAAAGCGGGTCGTATATCCGCAAGACCTACGCAGACAATACCGCGGCTTTGAGAGCCAAAAATGATTCCCGCGCCTCCTCTCCGAAGTCAAACGACCGATCCTCGCATTGAAGCTTGGTCAAGTAGGCCGCGATCTTCGAGTAGCCTTTGATGAAATGCTGATAGTAGTCGGCGAGACCAAGGAACGAGCGAACATTCGTGACGTTCCGAGGCTTTGACCACTCTTGGATCGCTTGAATCTTGTCCGTTAGCGGACTGATGCCCTCCGGTGTGACAAAATGCCCAAGTATTCCAGCTAATGCCGGACAAATTCGCACTTGTCGCGGTTGGCCTTGTACTTGGCGCGGCGGAGCGTCTCCAACACTCGTCGAAAATGCCCAAGATGGTCCTCCAATGTCCGACTATAGACGAGAATATCGTCTAAGTAGACCAGCACGAACCGGTCCAACATTGCACGGAACTCATTGGTCATTGCCGCTTGAAAGGTCGTCGGGGCGTTGGTGAGGCCAAAAGGCATGACCACCCACTCAAAATGCCCGTACCGCGTCTTGAACGCGGATTTGTAGCGATCATTCGGCCGGATCGAGATTTGATGATATCCTGATTTCAAATCCAACTTAGAAAAATACTTTGCGCCGCCCAATCGCTCAAGAAGATTGTCGATGCGAGGAAGAGGCCCCACATTCTTGACGGTTTGCTCGTTGAGCTTGCGGTAGTCGATACACAATCGTTGATCCTTGTTCTTCTTCCGGACGAAGAGAACCGGTGCTCCATATGGGGAGCTACTAGGGCGAATTCAGCCCTTGGCCAACAAATCGTCGAGTTGTGCGCGGAGGACCTCAAGCTCCTCCTCGCTCATCCGATAGATGCAACCTTTCGGCGGCACGACACCGGCCTCAGGACTGATCTCGTGAGAGATCGGCCGATCTGGCACCACACCGGTAGCTGGCTCGAAGATGTCAGCGAACTCGTTCAGCAACCGCACCACACGGGGGTTCGAAGACAAGTCCGTGGGTGAAGAGTCGGCTACCGCGACGGTCCGTAGGAAACATAGGCCGATCTCCTCGTGCTGCTCGTAAGCGCAAGTCGCCCGGAATGATTTGGCCGTCACCACTTGGCACGGAATCGAAGGGTGCGGTAGAGGAATAGTACACGCCACTTCCGCGTCGAAGGCGTCGCGAACGCTAAGGGTCCGCCGGTGGAAGTTGACCGTGTGATCCGCACTTGCAAGCCAAGGTATTCCCAGAATGATGTCGAAGTCCGTGTCGAGAATATCGAATGTCACCGGTTCGCATGCATGAGGTGCGAAATAAACCGGTACGGCCTCGATGTATCGGTCGAGAAGTTGCTGGGTTTTCCCATCCGCCAACTTGATCGCCGTCGGGTTTGCCTTCCTCCGAACTTGTGCGCCAAGGCCAACCCTTTGCATAAAGGATTGGCTCATGAAATTGTGAGACGCGCCGCTATCCAGCAAAGCACTGCAGGACACTTGCCCAACCTGGATGCGGACATACATGAGCGGTGCGTTGTGGTCATCGTACCGCTGCGTGCGAAACTCGCGGGCCACCTTGGTAGTATACGCAAGCATGTCCCCCACCGCGACTTCGTCATCCGTCGGCGAAGTTGGTGGTGCGGATAAGTAAGTGTGGAGATGAGCGCATAGTGTTGCGCATTGCGGTCCCGGCAAGCGGCCTGTGGTCGGGAGAGGAAGCCATGCAAAGTCCTCGGATGTGAGTGGGTCCAATACCTCTATGTTGAACTCGCGCGTCGATTCCTGTGAAGAACCACTTGAAGACGATATGTCGCCGTTGCCGTACGGAGAAGAAACCACACACACGTCTTGTCCTTGAGCTTGAGTACCCAGCGTAGGAACGAGCCGGGCAGCGTAGTCCTCAAAAGACAATAGAAGAGGAGGACTATAGACTTCCGCATGCGCCTTGGAATGAAGGCCAGTCACTTGCGAAGAGACCGGTTCCGAAGGCATTGAGAGTGTCGTCGAGTCACTCTCGGCGGTGCTCAGTTTCCCTATTTGCCCTTGCCTTTCAATGGGAGGCCAGTGTCTCATGGAGATCGCAGTTGCACCATAGGCAATAGCGGAATGTCGTGCGCGCTTTGAATGCTTGCTCGGAGATGCCGTATTGGGACCAAGGGGCTGGAGCTGCTGGGCCGGGCCCAGGGCTAGATGAGGTGTGTGTCTTCGTCTTGCCGTGTCCTCGGCCTCTGCCGGGGCGGCCACCTTCCTGGGCGGCTGCGAGTCTGTCCCCTTCACTGGCAGACACAGCCTCGCTGGTTTGGTCAAACGGCGTTGCTGCTGCGACCACGGCCACTCTTGGCCGGTGCTGGTCCCTGCTCGGGACTGCCGCAGACGAACGCAGGTTCTTAGCCTCCTTGTTCGTAATGATGATATGCGCGGCCTTGTCAAAAAGTTCCGCCGTTGTCGTCAAGGTGTCCTCGACGTGAGTCAGGGCATTGCTTAATGTAGGACATGACCTTGAGATGAAGTAGTGGCGGATGGCTTTGAAGCCCATCTGGATGTCTGGGATTGACGTCAAGCGTTGGTACTCGACAATCCAGTCGGTA